ATTACTATTGGCTCATTTTCTTAATTATTTGGAATTTGGGTTTTAATTATGGGATAAAAGGAGAAGGATATTACATTAAACATATTCCATTTCTGTCCTTTACGAAGTATATGCGAACATTAGACAAGAACCAAGACCAAGCAGATTTCATCTCTCCCTCAACCACAACAAATGCAAGGGGTATAACATTTTTGTCACCATCTTGTGATATAGCCATAAGAAGTGTACCCTTATATTTTTCATATAGAAAGGTACCATCAACTTGAATAATGGGCTTTACGTGTTCAAATGCATCACTACATGGCTTGAATGCCCAAAAAACATGCACAAACATTTTCATAGGCTAACCTTCATAATTAACTTCTAAGCATAGCTTACTTTTAAATCTCATGCAGATCTAGGCATGAAATGTTAGACTGCTGCTAATCACCTTAGTAATAACAAGTATGAGCTCTCCCAATTACTAAAAGCCATAGTAATTGCTAACTGTTTAGCCTTCCATACTTTCTTATATGACGCTATATACCTAAACATGGATTGCATGCACTCAATTATTTGGGATACTTTCACATCTAGTCAATTAGTTACCATTGCCACAATAGAGGATGAGATGACATCAGCATCTAGCTTAGGGTGGTCTTGACTTAATAAGGTTGCCAAATAAGTATGAGGCCTTGCATATTTTGTAATGTTCCATGATGTTTTATTTCCTTTTTTACAAGCCTTTAATCTCCAATTATAACTACTTTTATAATTTATACATCAATATTCTTCGTACTTATCACTTGAATGAAACACCTTGAACGTGTGATGAACTCGAATAGAGTATAATTTGGTTGCACGTCTTAGCATGTGAGTATTATTAAAGATTTTACTAATGAAAAGCTCTTGCCTATCATTGGGAGGTAAAAGATCTCCCATTCCACTAAACTTAGAAGTTTTTGTTGACTCTACATTAATTCATGAGAAGAAAGTTAAGGCAGCCTCTTCATTGTTCTCTTCAAAGGCCTCGTCATTATCATGGTTACCACCACCATTTATATTAAAATCATACTCATCTTCATCTTCAAAATCATCCATAATATCTTCAGATAGAGCTTGTGAAGAAGATGGTACACTATTATTACTAACATCAAGGCAAGGAGGATCAAATGGATGAAAATTTTCTAAGTGCAAGCTAAGCCTTCTTCCTTCTTCCATTAGATTTATGTGATTGCTATTTGATGGAAATGAAGATCTAACAAAGTCTTCTAGTGGTTGCGATTTAGGGATGTCATCAACTTCTACATTTGAAATGTGTGCATATAGCTCTAGTCCTGTCATTTGATTTGAATATCACAAATTTATATGCCACATTTATTCTATGTTAGAATCATTCTACAACATACATGCCCAGTATCTTGGCTGATTTATAGCTATTGGATATCTATATACTAGATTAGACACAATTTGATTGAAAGGAAGCTCTAGTATTTGTCTAACATCTTGTTTTAGTCAGGCCAGAGTAATATTTACATCAATCCTCATCATTCTCATATTATCATATTCAAATGTCACACTATCTGAACTATTAAAAATTTGACCATTTGTATATATGCACACTAGCTCTTTTTTATTGTTCATTTTCCCTATATGTTAAGCAAATTTTTTATTAATCAAATTGATATCAAGGTACTAAAAAATAATCTAATCCCTACACAATAAATCAAGCATCAAAGCATTTTTTAGTAACATCCAAGCATTCACGTTTTAACACATGACTAATTTATTTATAACATTATAACAATAATTTATTTCATTCCCCTCTAAAATTATGTTTATATTTTTTTACCTTAATAATGATTAAAGGCTAAATCATCATTAAACAATTAAAATGCTTTTGAAAAATAATTTTTTAAAATATTATTTCATAATTAATTAGATAAGTTTCTTATATATTTAAACTAATAATCATCTCAAATTTTTTAAAAGAAATCACTTTTAAAAACGTAGCTACTTGTTGAAGATGTTTATAATTTTTTACCAAAAAATTATGTGTATATAAAATGCCAGGTGATTTTTTCCCCATATTTACTAAACATACATAAAATTATGTGTATATATATTTTTATTGGTAAATATAATTATTAATTGTTTTAAAAAGTATCATTTATATCTCATAATTAATTGTAAATGTTTTATTGTTGATGAAGTTTAATTAGCTTCATTAACCATAGATATGATCCACTTATGAGAAGAGAACATGTACGTCACTAATTATATCTAATATATTTATTTATTTTAAATAAAATTAAATGTGGGTTAGCAGCATATAATAATTAATTAACACACTAACATTCATCTTCCTAAGCTTTAAATCTTTCATTGAGTGTTTAATCAGAGAGAAGCAAAATGGTCAAGAGTGAGAGGAAAAAGAAAAAAAATGTGACTTTAGTTTTATAATTTTATTTTTTAAATGTAAGGGCATATATTTTAAATGATTAAATTGAAATTAATTGTATCAAACCAAAATTTAAAGATTAATTTTCTATCAAGTAAAAATTATAATCATTGAGACACAACAAATGAAAATTTAAAAACTAAATTTGTAATCAAATCAAAACTACAGTCATAACATCATCAGATAACAATGTAAGGTTATAATAGGATAAATATTTACATGCATAAACAAATTCTAAACATACATAAAAAAAAATAAAACACTTTTTATCATAATCAAAATATTAAATCATATGATAGATGTACTTACCTTCTTCAATCTGGTATCAAAATGAGTAAGATCGTTGAGAGCTAAGGAAAAATAAATGCAACACTTGCCAAAAGAAAAAAGGAGCAAAGGAGAAAGAAGATGCAAATGCTCGAAGATGAAGAAAAGGAGAAGGAGAATTCATGTAACAATTGCACAACTTATATTTATTTTCAAAACTTTTCAACTATGAACGTGCATGATCTGAAATAAGGGAAGAAAAAGATGCACATGCTGATAAACAATACAACACAAAAATTATTTTCACGAATCTGTTTAATTTAAAACTTGACACTGCATATATTTTCATACATGTCTTGCAACGTAATGTCATATCTCAATAGTAATATTAAAAAAAAAGTAAAATTGGCAGAGCGTGCAAAAAGAGCAACTTTTTTCTACTTACAACTCGGTATTGTAGATGCTGAGTAACGTAATTGCTTGAACATGCATTTTCTTCTATATTTTCTGTTATTGTATTATTTTATTTTTCTGACACAAAATTGACAAAAGAAGTACTACCACGTGAAGCCCTTATCTTTCCTTACCTTGTCTTCAATCCATCCTTCATTATATGTACTTTTATGAGTTATAATAATAGGATCACATGAAGGAGAGAGGGGAGAAAAAGTAAAAAAGAATTTAACATATAAATTCAATGAGATAGAAACTAACTTTTTTAAATAAAGAATGAAAGAAAACATTTGAAACTCATGTGTCTATCAAACTAAGTTTTTAACTTATAATATCTTGATAAATAATTTTTAAATTATAATATTTTAAAAATAATTTTTTTTTTGCAATATGATGGTCAATTTACCGTCAATTCTATAATTGAAAAACAAAACACTTAAAATAATAATACGAATAGCAAGGATTGAGAAAATAAAATAAAATAAGGGAAAGAAATGCGGTGTCCACAGTAGCTTTAAAAGCCACATTTTCTGTGCAGTCCTACTATCTAAAACAGCACACACTTGCGGACTTGCCCTCTAGCCCTCTACCCTCTACCCCTCTACCCCGTTCGTATCTTGGCCACCTCTCTCTCCGCAGCCTTATCCTCACAGGCAAAGTTAAGGTACGGGTTCTAGCCCTTGAAAAAAAAAAGAGGTTATTGATTATCATTAACATACCACTTCTGGGTTGTTTTCTTCGGGATGAGGGTGTCTCCGTTTCTCTTTTCTCCATTTTTTTATTTTTCTTTTATTATCTTTAAATTAAACCTTTTCAATAATTTAGTTTTTTAAAAAATTATTATTTTAATTTTGTATAAAATATTATAGTTTTAAATAATTTAGATTAAACTTTAATAATTTAAATTTATTTATATACCTTTTTAAAAAATAAAATAATAATTTTATTAAAACCTCAATTTGAATCATTAGGCCTCGTTTGATATGATAAAAAAGTTTTTGATGAAATCGAAATTAGAATTGAAATTAAAATTAGAATTAGAATTAAAATAAAATTTAATTTTAAAAGTGTGTTTGGTATGTAAAAAAAAATAGATGGAATCCTTACACTATTTTTATTTGGCATATAAGATATGGAAATAGAATTATACATAAAAGATAAAAATACCCCTAAAAATTAAAATTAAAATAAATATATATTAAAAGCTTGATTGTGTTTTAATTTCCTCATATATTTAGTATATAAATAAAATATTATATATAATAGTAAATATATATAATTCATATATATATTATAAATATACAATATATATACACTAGAATAAAGAACACAAAAAAAAAAATAGCTACAAAAGAAAAAAGCTAACGAAACGAACTCAGCTGTTATCATTTTTTTTTTTTTTTTGCCAAAGTCAGCCACCACATTTTGAAACCAGAAGCTTCTGATGCACACAAGCTTCATGCTCATGATTTATAAGGCCAAATTGTGAATTTAATTTTTTATGAGGATAAAATTGTCATGAAAATAAAATTTTATAAAATTGGTCCAGATTTATAGTTTTAAGTAAGGAATTTAATTCAAGCTTTTTTATGAAATTAGGATTTATGGGATTTTAATTTATATATATTAAATATTTATTTATTAAGATTCCTACCTTAATTTTATTTTCATTTTTAAAATTTAAGTCTACTAAACAGGGTTTAAATTTTTAATTCAAAATTGATGGGAGAAAAATAAAAAAAAAAGAAGAGAGAGAAAATAGAGACACCTCTTCCCGTTTTCTTCCTTCCTCTCCCCCCTTTTTTCTTCCTTACATTTTCCCCCAATTTCGCTCCTTTCTCATCGTTATTATCATCTCTGAAAGTGAAAAACAGTTCAACCATGGCGGAAATCCAAGCAATCTCCACAACTTTGGTGCAAGCCAGAAGCCACAATAACAGCGACGTCGTTCCAAGAATGGACTTAACTCCATGGGATCTCCAACTTCTTGAAGTCGAAACCATCCAAAAAGGACTTCTCTTCCACAACCCTGAGTCTCAAGACACTTACATCCAACACCTTAAAGACTCTCTTTCTTCAACACTAGATTTTTTCGTTCCACTTGCTGGACGTCTCGCCATTTCTGAACATGACGATGGTACGATATCTGTTTCCATTTCTTGTAACAATGCTGGTGCTCTGTTTGTCCATGCCTTAGCTAGAAGCATTGCACTTTCAGATATTCTCGACTCCATCTACGTTCCTCGTGTTGTCCATTCCTTGTTTCCGCTGAACGGAGTGAAAAATATCGAAGGCACTTCTAAGCCATTGTTAGCTGTGCAAGTTACAGAGCTAGAAGACGGAATCTTCATCGGTTGTTCGATTAATCATTCTGTTGTTGACGGTAGGTCGTTTTGGCATTTCTTCAATTCTTGGGCTGAAATTTCTCGAGGTTTGGGCAGAATATCCAAGCTTCCTGCTCTTGAACGCTGGTTTCTTGAGGGGATCGAGCAACCTATTCGGTTTCTTTTCACAAAGGAAAATCAAAACTCCGATGGATTAATTCAGCCGCTGGCGCCACCGCCAGAGAGAGTGTTTCACTTTACAAAGGGAAAGATTTCTCAACTGAAATCAAAAGCCAACGCAGAGGTTAATTACACCAACAAAATATCATCTCTGCAAGCACTTTTAACTCATGTTTGGCGGTCTGCGATACGTAACCAACGTCTTGATCCAAAGGAAGATGTCAGTTTTTTCGTAATAATAGGTGCTAGACCCAGAATATTGAACCCACCATTACCGGAGAGTTATTTTGGAAATGCTGTGCATATCGGTAAAATGACCAAGAAGGTAGGGGAATTCCTTGAGGAAGGGCTTGGCAATACTGCTCTGGAAATGAACAAGATGATTTCTTTACACACAGAAGAGAAGATTAAGGATTTCTTGAAGTCTTGGATAAAAAAACCAGAGTTTTTAAGAGTTAGTGGGGTTAGAAGTGACAATAGATTGGTCACGAGCAGTTCTCCGAGGTTTGATATTTACGGAAATGACTTTGGTTGGGGCAAGCCTGTGGCGGTTCGAAGTGGTTCTGCAAATAAAGCTCGCGGAAAGCTGACTGTTTATCCTGGGGTAGAAGAAGGTAGTATTGACATTGAACTTTGCTTACGTTTCGAGGTTTTAGAGGCCTTGGCAAATGATCCTGATTTCATGAATTTTGCTTCTATCTAGTGGATGTCTTCAAGGCTAAGATTAAGTTCAGTTTAAAATATATATTTGTGAGTCGGAACACAATAATCCTGTATGATAAAGGCTTTAATAAGGTTGTTTGTGTAGTGTGAGTGCAATTGATCCTTTGTTGTTGATTAATGTTTGCTCTATTTTCAATTAGAGTTACGAGAAAAGCATTGAACTCGATGACTCGTGATTCGCCTAAGCTGGGATTTTCTACATTTTTGGCCTCGCTAAATACCCGCGTAGCTGGAGCTAAAATATTTTTGTTTCACATAAATTATTCATTCAGCCCTCAATTCATCAAATCCGAAACCATTCCATGCATTAGAGTCTATATAATTCTAGTTCGACCAAGTATGACGGATCAGTCCAGATAAGCTCAAAAATTTATACAACCAAGCTTTGGAAATTGATTTTTTGTTTTTTTTTCTTTCAATCAAGCTTTTAAACAAAGCCAGCTATGCAGGGACGTACCCACGTTCATCATAATAGGGGCAATTGCCCCCACATACAGAAGGACAAAGTTACCTTAAATAATTATTTCCTCCTTCACTTTAATAAATTTCACTTGTCCCGTTATAAAATTTTACTTATCCCATTACTTATCCCACTTTAATAACCTTAAATAATAATAGTTTTAGAATGAAAAAGTAATAATTTTTATGAAAATTAAAAAAATGTGGTTTTAATAGATATGAAAAATTGTTTATGTAAAGATAGTCTTTTATGTTATTATAAATTATAACTCTAACGGTATGTTATATTAGTTGTTTTTTGTATTTAATTTTATTAACTTATACCCTTTATATAATTTAATAGAAATTTTAATTTTTTTAATAAAAATATTAATATTTAGATCATGTACAAATTATGCCCTCATTGATTTATTGTTCTAGGTCCATCGCTGCAGCTATGCATGAAGAAATTTAATGAAGCCCAAATATCCTCAATCGTTGTATGGTATGGTGTAAAGCCTGCAATGGCACGTTTGAATTTTAGTTGAATATAATTAATTATAAAACAATTGATTGATATGATTAATTTTAATAATAATTAATTATGTTATAACGTGATCATGTTTAGATATTGTTTCTATGAATTTGATTTTAAAAAAATTAAAGATATTTAAATAATTTAATCAAAATCAATTTTAAATATACAAATTACTATAAAGGACATGAGTTTTATGATGTAAATATTAAAAAAGTTACATATAATATTATTAAATTCTTTTTGATATATTTAACAAATAAATATAAAATAATGATTCATTTAATATTTAATCTGCATTATATTATAATGTTGATAATTAATCACCAATGGTTGGTTGGCATTAAAATAGTAGTAAACAAAAAATATAATATACTAGGAAAAACTTTAAGAGGGGAAACATATAAAAACGAATCACAAGCCACACGCGGGGGTATATTTGGATTGATCAAATTTCTTGTGTACAATTATTCCAGCAAAAGTTACAATTGATACCCAGAAGCTAGGTGCAGCCAGCTTAAAACGGAATTCAGAGCCCAAAATCGATTAATGAAAAAAAAAAGAGTGTTTGGGTATGTTATATAAAACCATGGTTTGGTTGGTTTAGAATCGATTATTTAATCAATCCAAACTGGCACTAATTCTGGCAAGTTGGACGATGGAAATATCTCAATAAATAATATAAAATGATCAAAGTTGGGCGTACTTGATCCAAGAAAAAAAAATATGTCAATAATAAAATTAGACTTGACCTATTAAGCTTCTATAGTTTACAAAGAGTACAAAGATAGCGAAAAAAATATAAAAAGTCATGTGTGGTGGGTTATTAACTGATCATATTATATGGATCATATTATCTCAATAACAACCTCAACAACTAATTAATTAATAGAGAATTACATATATGTCCTATACAAAAGAATTAATTATTATAATGTCCATTAACAATTGAATTAAGGTCATTGATAACATAATGTGTTGTTATTGTTCTTAGTTTAGTTGTTAATAAACTTTGTAGCAATTAATTTTCTTGTATGGGACTTCAATGTTCTTTCATTAATAAATCATTATCTTTGACTCAGTCAATTAAGACAATGCAGAGAGAAGAAAGAAAAGGGCTACTAGGGTATGGATTTTTAAGGTCAAGGAAGAAGTTTTCAATTGGTAACTTATCGAGTAAGTTTTGTACCAACTTGAGCTTTGATTGTACTATAATTTCTCTTAGAACAAGTTATAAAAGAATTAAATCGAGAAATTTTTTAAGGGGTTTGTTTCTTACTCTTTTGGTTTGAGGTTGAACGATAAAGCTTTGAAGGTTTAAGTTGAAATTTACCCTGAACCTAGGAAATTAAGAGTAAAGTGGTGAAAGAAGTGGAATAGGATTAATAGAAGTAATAAAGAGTGGTGAATGAGTGGTGATGGGCCTAAATTGATTAAGTAGAAGTAAATGAACAGTTAGATATAGCTTAGGGTAATAATTAGTATTTTTAGTCAACATAGTTAATTGACTAATGGTGTCAATTATGTGTAGATTGTTGTGATACGTGAGTATCTTGAGGAAGAGAGCTAGTGTGGTGACCATAGACATATAAGAAATTCATGGGTAACATTTATAGTGACAGAAAGGTTGAGATAATAAAATAACTTACTTTATGTGACTGTTTATTGTACCTGTGTATAAGTATTATAACTAATGCATGAAATCATTTTTAAATTAAGCATGGTTTAAGACAATGCATATTCGCTGCATGAAATGGATTTCTAGTTATTTCAAACAATGGAAATGTTCTATAATATAATCTGTATATATATGTGTGTGTGTGTGTGGTTTTAAAAGTAAACCCATTTAGTATGAAAGCATGATCATATGAGTGGGAATTCACCTATTGGGAGATATAGTGAAAGTCCATATGACATATTCTCTTTAGTACCCGACGAGGTACGATATTGGAGAATTTCCATTTCTTTAATGCCTATTAAGGTACAATATTGGAGATTATCTCCTTAATGCCCATAAGGGATGCAGTGTTAGAGATTTGAGCTCCTTAACATCAATATGATGCAGTATAGGCGTAAGGACACCCTAATCAGTGTGTGATGGGGGAAACTATAGTCTGGAGATGGGATAGAACACCTTTAGCTAGGTAATTCTACTATTGAAGGTATGCTCAAAGACATGAGTGTGTGTATTGGCCTAATGCGAGCCTATAGTTTCAATCAGAGTGATTTAGAGGTTCAAATGGTAGTGATCATACTAATGAAAGTAGTGATATGTGATGAAATATGATTTTATGAAGTGAATCTTATGTTATATGTTACGTTCATTTATATATTATGTGATACTTGCTTCTAGTTATTTATAATAGTTAATAGTAGTGAGTTATTTTATTACTGAGATTATTATCTCATCTATGGTTACATTTTTACAGGTCAAAGTAGTGAGTTAGGTAAAAGGAAAGACTCAGCGTGGGCTCAATGTTGATAAAGCCGTGCAACCCTGAGTGTTATGTAATGAACTCAAATTATTGTTAATATTGTAAATAAAAGTTTTCATAAGACTTGCACGTATGTTTTGAGTTATGATTTATAGTGATTTTAGAAATCTTAGCCCATTATGTGTTGATTGTGATGAATTATGTGGCAAAAGGCTAAGATTTGGTTGTGAATATGTAATGACTATAGTAATAGTGAATATTTTATACCATATAAAGATGTGATTTTGTGTAAATTTCATTATTGTGTGTTTTGACAATTGAATGGCCAAAGTTTGATTTATATATATATATATATATATATATGTTGTGATGGTTGGTCAATTAAGTGTGAATGGTCCTTTTGGACTTAGTTTTAAGCTTAAAACGGCTTAATGAGATTAAATGTGTGATTTGAACACTTTAGTGCATAAAATTTTGATAAAAGTGACTTTTAACACCTGAATATCTAAATTTAGATTGGACTGTTAGATCATATCTAAATTGGTCTTATAGGCTAGTTCATGAACTAAGCTTCATGTAGGTGTTTGAATTATTCTAATCAGACGTCATATGTTTAAACAGTACATGCCAAAAGTTAACTTTTGTGAATTGATTTTTGACAGAAAAATTTTATCATGTGTGCTACAGTGAATAGCACAAAAAAGGCTAAGCTCGTGGCTCTATACCACAAGCCACTGTACATGAGGTACATGAGGTGCATGTTTCTTTGGTTCCTAGTAATGACTTGAGAGTATGAATGCACGATTTTTTTTCCTTTCGTTGTGCATGTTTAATGTATATTTGTTTTGAGATGATTTCTATAAAATAAAGTCTTAGGTTCAAGCTTTTCAAAATTATTTTCTCTGACTACAGTTGGGTATGATGATTAAGTTAACCACTTCTTATTCCATATTAGTGTAAGAGACACAGTTTGGTATAGGGAGATGTTACAGAGCCTATGCCTATTAGGTTCATTTGTGTGGTCCACCTATCATGATTCACACAAGATCATAAAGACTAATCTGTTCTAAGTTTAATATCTAATTAATGCAAATCCCCTAATATATATAAATATTTTACCAATATTCCAACAATCTCCCACTTGGATTATATTAATTAAAGAACAATGACCCATTAAAAAATTCAAAAAATTAAACTTTACATATCACTAGATCCTATAGGAATCAAGTGATAATTAGATACAAAAGTAGTGTTTCATAATCTAAGTAGAACAAAATACAAAATTTTTATTCCAAATACAATTCATTAAGATAACAACAAAAAATCATTGATTTCTATAAAGAAACGACATGTATAATATACTACAATAGAATCATTAAATCTTATACGGATACAAATAATATGAACACATCTAATTAAACTAAATATAGAGTAGGTCTTTTGACCACAACTTAGTAAAGAGACAATACAAAGTCACTAAATCTTATAGGGAAACAAGTGACATAAGGTGCACTAACACAAAATCATTTACTCTTATGTGAAAACAAATAATATAAAGCATTGTAATATCTTTGAACAAAACTAAAACTCAGCAGAGAAACAAATATCATTGAATCCTAAAAGAAAACAAGTGATGCAAGATGCATGAGTGCAAATCATTGAATCTTAGGGAAACAAATGATATAAAGCATCTCAATGTTTCTTAAACAAAACTAAGCATAACAGCAAAATGTTCTCAAACCATCAAATGTCCTTAAAAAGGACACAACTCAAAATCCCACTAAACTAGGA